TCCTACCTCGCCACCAGCTCCTTTGGGTTATTTAACTCAACCCAGTCCGTGAATAGCACCCTTGTCTGACGCTTCCCCCCTTTTTTCCTCTAGGCCTGATCCCTGAGCAATTCATTCCAGGGCTCCTTTATTTTTGGAACTAAAAAACAACACACGCCAGCGTTTGCTGAGGACAGCGCAGGGCTACCCCGTGCCCTGGCACTCCAGCAAGGAGAGGAAGTCGGGAGGAGGCAGGAACCAGAGTCGACGCCGCCCCCCAAACCCGCGCGCCTTTCTTCCCCTCCCTGTTCCCCGCCCCTCCAGGAAGAAAGCAGTCAGAGATCCGATGGCTCATTGCGGCCGCTGTGCCAGCACCAGCCGCTACACTCGCCCTCCCTTTCCTTCCACCAGATTTTGCACAGAGCGCCCGCCTGCCCGCGCGCCCCAGGCGGGGCAGGTCCTGGCGAGCAGCGCAGGCTCGGCTCCCCCGGGCTTCTCCGCGAATCGCGTTGTTCCTGGGATTTCACGGTCGAGTGGCTCTTGCGTAACCCTACGCCCTGGCCGAAGTTAATACTTTTTTTTTTTTTTTTTTTTAAATGCTAGGCTTAATCCTCTAGGGAAAGGCAAATACTTCCGGCCACGGATCCGGTCGCCCTGGGAGTAAATGGGTAAAGCACCTACAGTCTAGATTCCCCACCCTTCATGGCCCCTTTGTGCGTTTTCAAAAGGCCCAGTACTCAGGCTGTGCTCCCAGGTTTCCTGGCACGCCACGCGGGGAAGGGGGCCTTGGAAAGGCCAGAGGAGCGCCCAAGCCAGACATTTGTTTTCATCTACTGTGAGGCCGCTCTCTCAGGCCAAAGAATTGGGTCCTGCTTACTGCAGGGCTGAGTGTTACCAAAAAAGGCCTTTTTCTCTCCGGAGCGCTTGGCGGCACGCGTTGCAGTGGGGTGAGGAAAGAGGTTCAGCCGTGGCCTCCTGAGCCAGCTGGCTGCAGCGATGCCAGGCCAAGAGAACCCCCATCCCTGTGCCCTCTTTGCCCCCAAATGGTGGGGCCTAGGGGAAGGCAGGAAGGAGACTGCAGGGAGCGTCGTAGGGCTTCAGCTCTTGGCGACCTCCTCACTCCTGTCAGCCTATGATGCTCAGAAAAGGCCAAGTGGCAAGCTGACCTTTTGCTTCAGTTTGGAGAGGAATTCTCTGAGAATGCTAGCTCAGAGGGCAAAACCGAGCAGTCGGCTACAGAGGAAAGGAACTTTGAGGAGACAGCAGGGACATTTCTTCCTGCAGTCCTTGAGACCCCAGCACCTGTGCACCTGTGCACCTGTTGTCTTAGATGGCGCCTCCCCACCCCCTCTTCCCAGGCTCAGGTCTGCCCACCGAGGTCATGGTGTTGTGGCATGAGAAGGGGGAAGGGGAAATTCATCTCCAAAACACTGACGTTCTTGTCTCACAATCTTGGCCACATCTTGTCTCAGGGCCATCTCAGACTAGCAGTTAAGAAGCAATTTATCACCATAGGTTGCAGTGATTCTTGGGGGGAGGGGTTATGGAGAGAGCTGTGCTTTTTAAATGATTGAGACTGTAATGGAAGTCTGTTTAAATGCACGCTGATTCCTAACTCAGTATGTCTGAAGACACCCCAGCATGTGTATGTGCGTGTGTGTATATATATATATCTCCTTTAGTAACAGTGAAGACAGAGACAGACAGGGAGATGGAGACATATGTGTGTGCATACCAAACATAACACTATGACACAGAATCCAACTTGCTTTCTCTAGCTGCCTGGCTGGAGGGTCGGGGCTAAGTTGCTAGTTCTCCACTATTTTTGGTTTAATAAAGGGAAGGGCTAAATAAATAATATAAAGAAATGGGTCAACCAGCCAAACCAAAGCTAAGGAGCCCTTGGCTGGTGGGAATATGAAGCCATCTCCCAGACCCATGTTTTGACTCACTGCAGGGTAGCTGTGGTGTGGGGCGGGCTGGAGGCTGGGAGGGTGAGGCAATGCTCTCTGCAGCTCTCTGCATAGAAGGGGAAGTTTATTATTGCTCTGGAGTGTACAGTGAGCTCACTGTTTTGCAAAAACAGAAATCTGGCTGCTCTGAGATTAAAGAGGGGTCCCTAAGGGCTCTTCCTTTCCACTTTTTCCCTATCCTTAGAAATTCCCTTTCCTTTGCTGCTAGGGCCTCAGAAGGAGTGGAGGATTAGGGTACTGGGCGATATTGGATATGGAAACAGGGTCTAGAGATCAAATGTCAAAATAAACATATTTCTTGTTGCTTTAACTGAACTTTATTACAATAGTAATAATAACAATAATAATCCCGATGTTTCGTGCAGTTTTACAAAGTACTTTTATATTAACTAACAATACTGTCGATACTAACATCAATACTAATAATAACCAACACTTAGTGGCAGCTTCCTGTGTGCCCAATATGATGCTCTACACACTGTATGGTGTATTTATGGTAGTCTTCCATACACAGATTCACAATTTCTGAATAGGAAAACTTCACTAACTCAGTCTAGAGGGGGAGGCTGGGGGTTGGTTATGAAGATGCATTTGCCTAGCACTTTACATATAAGATTGTATGAGCACCCCAAACCACTTCTGGGACCCTAAGCTTGTAAAAGCCACCTCTCAAATCAGATCTACTAGATTCAGGTCCAATCTCCAGCTCCAATGGCTTTAGGCAAGTTATTTAACCTCTTTACTTTCTTAGTCTGTAAAACTGAGCTAACAGAATCTACCTTGTAGCTAATAATATAGATAATGCACCCTCAATAATGTAGGTATCATGTAGATAATAAAGGTTTAATAATACAGATGATATACTTTCAATAATGTAGATATTAAGGGTGGTGCAAATCGCCTTGCAGTGTCTCTTGTCCATAGCAAGTCTCAGTACGTTATAGTAAGTTGCCACTCATTTTGACAAGGATCAAGCTGGAACCTGAAATAACCTTAATGAGTTAAGAGCTGTCAGTCCATTTTACAGAAGGAAAATAGAGGTTACGTGAACAACCAGTTTAAGGTTGCAAAGCCAGTAAGTGATAGTGAAGAAATTACAATGCTGGTCACAGGTTGGCATAACCCAATCCTGTTATGTTGCCTCCCTTCCTTCAGCCTTTCCCAGGAAGGAATTATCTCAATTTTCATGAAATTTATTTTTAAAAAGCCGACCAAATAAAGAGAAGAATCACTTGAAATGCCCCAGCCAGAACAACATACCTGTTTTGCAATGAGAAATAATGATAAACAGTGATCTTATAAGGGAAAAAAAAAAATCATAGCCTCTTGCTGCGTCCTGGGGCAGTATGGAACAAAATCACAGCGCGTGAGAAAGAACTTTCAAAACTGTGTCTTTGCTGCATAAAAGCCATCAGTGTTATTAAACGCTGCCCCCACCTTCTTTTATCAAACCCAGAAAAATCACTCACCTGTTTGGTATCTCCAGCACCTCCCCCTCCCACGCGCAACTGCAGCTTGGTGAAGCCAGTTGACTGTTTTCCTTAAAGGCCTTCGGGTGATCATAGCTTTAACTTTAGACTTTGAACCAAAATTTTTAGAGTTCAGCTAAGGGGCGGAGTAGCTCACCCTGAATTCACTTAGTGCCGTCGTTGAAGCTCGGGTTCCTAGACTAGGGGACAAAAACAAATCCGAAAGGCAGTTTCTGGAAGATTGCAAAGCAGTTTTGTAGGTGCTTGGGCATCATTGGTGCCAAAGGAATGTAATATCCATAGCGGGGACGGGAAAGGGTTGATCGCAGACGAAATGGGTAATACCTTATACGAAATTTACAGTGAGAATCCTGGAACAGAACATTTAAATTCACTGCCTGGGATGGACCGGGTGGGGAACAGGGATCGGAAACGACGCTCGTATTTTTTAAATGCGTCTTTACTTGGGAAAGCAGGGCAGAAAAACGAAAGGTCATCGTCTGTTTGATTTCCACCCCCGGCCTCGGACTTCCAGCATTAGCTCGCCGGGCCTCAGCTGTTGTACACACACGGCGGCGAGGGGGGAGGGGAGGGCGGAGGCGCGGAGGAGGGGCCGGCTGGGAGGAATCTGGGCATCCTGCCGCGCATGCGCCTTTCCCGAGCAACAAGTGGGCTCCACAGACAGAGGAAGTGTAAAGGGGGGTGGGGGGACTGGTGCAGAGCATGGCGGTGACGTCAGCGCTCCGCCCGGGCGGCATCCCGCGCGGCCAAGCTGGGGACAGCGCGAGCCGCAGCCGGAGCAGGAGCGCCGAGACGCGCCTCCGGAACGTAGAGTAACAATCACAACCCCACATTCCGGGCAAGCGCAAGCGGGAAGGGATGCGACCCGGGCCGAGGCGCCGCGCGAGCGCCCTGCAGCCAACGTGAGCGCCGCCAGCCTCGGGGGCCAGGGCGCCCGCCAGGCCAGGGGGGGCCGGGAGCCTGAGTCGTGCACTCTCCGCGTGCGTCCTGGAAGCGGTGGCCGCGGCGGGTCCCTCCGGCGTGCAAACTCAGCCGCCACCAGCGGAACGGCTGACCCTACGGAGGGGAGAAGCTCCTCTCTCAGCTGCCACCCCCCCTCCCCAGGCCCTCCAGGGAAGCAGCGGCTTCAGCAAGATTGGACCTGGGCACCGGGTGGCACAGCCCGCTAGCCCTGGCCCCAGGGTGCCTGTCGGGGAGAGGACGAAGCTCTTAGGGGACCCCCGGGGGAGAGGAAGAGACAGCCCCCTCCGCGCGTCCACGCACCAGCCGCTCCGGGGAGGGGGCCCAGAGGCAGCGGCGGCCGGCACCGGACACCCTCGCCCCCTCCCCCCGGACCCGGCGCGTCCAGCCCCGACCCGCGACACCAGGAAGAAGGCGCCTGAGCTCCTCTCCCGACGCGACAGCCGCAGTAGGAGGTGGGGGCGAGAAGCGCGCAGAGCCCGTCGCCGCCCGGGCGGTGGGGCCCCCCTGGAGAGGCGCTGCGCCCGCGGTGGAGACTCGCGCTCCCTCCAGCCCCTGGGGCAGAACTTTCTCGCCCCCTCTGCTCCCTCCCCCGCAGCCGGACTCCCTCCCCAGCCAGCCCGTCCTCCCGGAGGAGAAGGCGCCGCGGAGACAGCCCGGGAGGGGGCCTACCTTCCCCAGGGCTGGCATCATGTCGGCAGCGCAGGTGTCCTCGTCCCGGAGACAATCTTGCTACCTGTGCGACCTGCCCCGCATGCCCTGGGCCATGATCTGGGACTTCTCGGAACCCGTGTGCCGCGGCTGCGTCAACTACGAGGGCGCCGATCGCATCGAGTTCGTGATCGAGACAGCGCGGCAGCTCAAGCGGGCGCACGGCTGCTTCCAGGACGGCCGCTCCCCGGGGCCGCCGCCGCCCGTGGGGGTCAAGACGGTAGCCCTGTCCGCCAAGGAGGCGGCAGCGGCGGCGGCGGCGGCTGCTGCAGCGGCCGCGGCGCAGCAGCAGCAGCAGCAACAGCAGCAACCGCAGCCTCCGCAGCAGCTCAACCACGTCGACGGCTCCAGCAAACCCGCGGTGTTAGCGGCTCCCGCCGGCCTGGAGCGCTATGGCCTGAGCGCGGCCGCTGCCGCCGCCGCCGCCGTCACGGTGGAGCAGCGCGGCCGCTTCGAGTACCCGCCGCCGCCGGTGAGCCTGGGAGGTGCCGGCCACGCCGCGCGGCTGCCCAACGGCCTCGGGGGCCCCAACGGCTTCCCCAAACCAGCACCGGAGGAGGGACCCCCGGAGTTGAACCGTCAGAGCCCCAACTCGTCGTCAGCGGCGGCGGCGTCGGTGGCGTCTCGGCGTGGGACGCACGGGGGGCTGGTGACTGGGCTACCCAACCCGGGGGGTGGCGGGGGACCCCAGATCGCCGTGCCCCCCAACCTTCTGCCGCAGACGCTGCTTAACGGCCCCGCCAGCGCGGCTGTACTGCCCCCGCCCCCACCCCACGGGCTGGGAACTCGTGGGCCCCCCACGCCCGCGCCGCCGGGGGCACCTGGGGGCCCTGCCTGTCTCGGGGGCGCCCCGGGCTCTTCGGCCGCGGCGTCGTCTACCGCGTCTTCCACCTCCTCGTCGGTGGCAGAGGTGGGCGTGGGTGCTGGTGGCAAGAGGCCCGGGTCGGTGTCGAGCACCGACCAGGAGCGCGAACTGAAGGAGAAGCAGCGCAACGCGGAGGCCTTGGCCGAGCTGAGCGAGAGCCTGCGCAACCGCGCGGAGGAGTGGGCCAACAAGCCCAAGATGGTCCGAGACACTCTGCTCACGCTGGCGGGCTGTACGCCCTACGAGGTGCGCTTTAAGAAGGACCATTCGCTCCTAGGCCGTGTCTTCGCCTTCGATGCTGTTTCCAAGCCTGGGATGGACTACGAGTTGAAGCTGTTCATTGAATACCCCACCGGCTCAGGCAACGTGTACTCCAGCGCATCCGGTGTGGCCAAGCAGATGTATCAGGACTGCATGAAGGACTTCGGCCGGGGCCTGTCCTCCGGCTTCAAATACCTGGAATACGAGAAGAAGCACGGCTCCGGGGACTGGCGCCTGCTTGGGGACCTGCTGCCCGAGGCCGTGCGCTTCTTCAAGGAGGGTGTGCCCGGTGCAGACATGCTGCCCCAGCCCTACCTGGATGCCAGCTGCCCCATGCTGCCCACGGCGCTGGTGAGTCTCAGCCGCGCCCCTAGTGCACCTCCAGGGACAGGGGCCCTGCCCCCAGCCGCGCCGTCGGGCCGGGGCACAGCCTCCAGCCTGCGCAAGAGGAAGGCATCCCCTGAACCCCCGGACTCAGCCGAGAGTGCCCTGAAGCTGGGCGAGGAACAGCAGAGGCAGCAGTGGATGGCAAACCAGAGCGAGGCACTGAAGCTCACCATGTCTGCGGGGGGCTTTGCGGCGCCGGGGCATGCGGCTGGGGGTCCGCCTCCACCGCCCCCACCCCTGGGACCCCATTCTAACCGGACCACCCCTCCAGAGTCCGCCCCCCAGAACGGTCCGTCCCCTATGGCTGCCCTCATGTCGGTGGCAGACACTCTGGGCACGGCGCACTCGCCCAAGGACGGCAGTTCCGTGCACTCTACCACTGCGTCCGCGCGGCGAAACAGCAGCAGCCCAGTGTCGCCCGCCTCTGTGCCGGGGCAGCGCCGCTTGGCATCACGTAATGGGGACCTGAATTTACAGGTGGCGCCCCCGCCGCCTAGCGCCCACCCGGGCATGGACCAAGTGCACCCCCAAAACATTCCGGATTCCCCCATGGCCAACAGCGGACCCCTCTGCTGTACCATTTGCCACGAACGTTTGGAGGACACACATTTTGTTCAGTGCCCATCCGTCCCCAGCCATAAATTCTGCTTTCCTTGCTCTAGAGAGAGTATCAAGGCCCAGGGGGCCACTGGTGAGGTGTATTGCCCCAGCGGAGAGAAATGCCCCTTAGTTGGGTCGAATGTACCTTGGGCCTTCATGCAGGGCGAAATCGCGACTATCTTAGCTGGGGATGTTAAAGTGAAAAAGGAGAGAGACCCTTGAACCACAGGGCAGCCACCTCTTTTGCCCTAGACCAGCTCCTCTCCAATCCAGAGGGCCCCTCCCCCCCACTCCACCTTCCCTTCCCACACCCCCAAGATGTAGAATTGTGAATATAACTGCAAAAAGTTAGTCTTATGTATAGACATTATTTTCGTCGTATGTTTCTATATTTTGAAACAAAGGTATGTAACTTCTTCATTTGAAGGATAAGCTGGTTTGTGTTAAGCAGTTTAATATTGGTTGGGTCATTCGCATCATATTCGTTAGCATTTATTTGGCGGCAGAATGTTTGCCTAGGTACAAAATTAATAGCCCTTAGCAACGACTGCTGCTGGTGTGTATTTTTGTAAATGTTATGCACTCTGAAAGGAAAAACACAAAAGAAAAAGACTTTTTTTTTTTTTTGCCAAGGCCAGTGTTGCTGCCTAAAAAAAAAAAATAATGATGATGCTATAAAATGGTGAAAGCGTCTTTTCTAAACAGCCCCAAGTGTTGAAGTCTTCACTTTATTTTCTGTTCTGTTTTGTTTTGTTTTCTTGTTTTGTTTGCAAAATGGTAAGGGGGGTGTTGGGGGGACGGGGTGTTTTTTGTTGCAAGTTTGTGAGGGGAAATGTTTTGGTTTGTTTCTACTGACCTGAATGTGTTGGATCTTCATGTGTTGTTTTGTTTCTGCTTTATTGATGCACGGATGCTTTTGAACCGTAGAGCGAAATGCTAGACATGGAGAATCTGCTCTGTTTGTCCTTTATACATTTCTGTAGTTAACAGAACACTGTAATGTGCCTTGGAGCTTAGTAACTTGTAATAAATTCAATTGATATTAATTCTGCCGGGAGTCAGCAAGTTTGTCATTCTAGGGCAGAGGGCACAGGACTCCAATGTAGGGGACATCCTCCCTACCTCCAACCTAAGGACAGGAGCACTTGTCCCTTTGTAAGCCCACAGAGCTGGCAAGTGAGGAAGGCCGGGTGCTGCCTGGCTGCCCCTCCCCCTCACACCAGGCTATTTACATTCACCTCTTGGGAGGCGACACTTGCTGACTAAGCGATTTCTGTTTACTCTTCAGCGTCTCTATTTTCCCCCGGATGTGGGGCCCAGCTGCAAATGGCATTGTCAGGAATGCTTTTTGGTGTCTCGCCCTGTGGCCACGAGTGTATACTGATGCTAGTGCAGCTGTGACTTGGCAAGTGGAGCGGGCGGGAATCCTAGAAAAAAGCTAGGGTCCTTTGCTTCATGGATGTGGCGGAATTAACTTACTGCGCATTTAAAACAAGAATGCCCCAGAGCTGGGAGCTGTCAGAGGGAAAGAAGGGTTGTGGGCAACTGGGAAGTAAATGTTTGTACTCAGCCAGGAGGATCCCAGGAGCTTCCAGCTGATGTGTTGGAAAAGCAGTTGTCACCATAGTGACTTCGTGCTCCTCTTCCTTCAAGTATTTCTAAAGACAGGACATGTGGCTGATGCAATCAGATTTTGGGGGGGATGCACACGGGGTGGGGGAACCCAAAGCCAGCTTTTGAAGTAAGAGTTACAAAGAGCACCAAATAAAATCCCTTCCTACTGGTTAAGAAATGCAAGTGTTCATCTACTCGACTTTTTTGGGCAGCATTTATAAAGCACCTAGAGGTGGGGAAGGGGAGGAGAGAGTTGTAATGCCTTTTAGATCTGAGATCTGAGCGCAGACCCGAGCCCTCCCAGAGCTGGTGGAAGACAAACAAACCTGGTTTGAACCTTGTACTTTACTGGAGGCAAATACAAGAAGAGTAGACAACAGAAGGGAGGAAACAAAACAAAACTCAGCGATCCTATCTGAAATTCATTCCTGGCCACACCCCATGCCTGGGCGGGGCCAGCCAGGCTTGTGCTGTTGGGCCAAGGCTAGAGGAATAGGTAGAAAAACTTGGTGTCCCCACCCTACTCCGTTGCAGGAGGAGCAGGCTGGCAGAGGGTATGGGCGCAGGCACGTTTGAAAACAATCACCAGTTAACGCAGAACACCGGTGTGGAGGTTGGGTTGGTGTTGGGACTTGCTGTTAATAACACCCTTCTAGTTTCTGTTCCTGCTTTTGCCACCACCATTATTGAAGTGGTGCAAAAACCAAGGGGTGTGTGTGTGTGTGTGTGTGTGTGTGTGCGCGCGCACGTTTGGGGTATGGATATGTGGTGGTATTGATGGATCTACTTCGGTCTCTTAATCCAGATACATGGGAGGTACCTGTCTCACCTCTTTAAGAATCTCCCCACATATAAATAGACATTCGTGTCAGCTTTCTGCAAATGTGTCCTTGCATTTTCATCGGCTGCCAAGTGTTGTATTGGTGCTTATGAGTCATGAAACCTATTTTCATCCTCAGGGGTAATTAACTTGGGGGTGATAATGCATAGCAGACTGTAGGAAGAGTTAATTCTAAAACCCATCCTCGCCTGGCTACCAGTCACACATTTCACTTAAAGGTCTGGCTTGGCTTTTCTCATAAGCTCATTAATAAAAATGAAGCATGTTGCGCCTGGAAGCTCCTTTAAGGTGCTCCCAACCCCCATCCTTAATGCACACACTTCTGAAATGGGAAGGCTCCATGGCCTGGGAATACGCAGTGTGTCTTGGGTGTGATTTAACCACCACTGAAGGAAGAGGCGCACATGAGCTTAGATGGGTAGAGAGCCTCTACCTGTCTGGGTGTGGAGCCTCTGAGTAGTGTCTGGTGGCTTCAGTACACATCCTGCCGTTATCTTCCTCCATGTGTGCATGGGCTCCTTCTGCCTGCCTGCAACTCTCTTCATGGCTTCGGTATTATTTTCAGGAACTTGTAGGTTTACAAGACCCTTGATTACTAGTGCACATAGGTAGGTGAAGAGGCCTGTCATTAAGAGCCGAGAACAGTATAGTTTTCTCCCCCTTCTTGTTGCCAGGTGCTATTATTAGCAGGAGAAGCAGTAGCTGTAATAATAGGCATCCAGTAAAGGAGGCCAGTTTGGTCTCACTGAGGGAGGCAGCCTGACTTGATAAGACCTGGGGAGATGGAGGGAGGGACAGGAGGCAGAGAGCGGTTGGGGTGGATCACTTAGACTGGTAGTGAATTATAATGGTGCAGTTAATTAAAGTTTACTATGGCTGGGGGCCATTTGTTAAATGGTGCCTCTTCCTTTTTTTTTGAAGACACATGACCTTTCTCTTTTCCTGAACTCATTCAGCTGCTGGTCTGGTTGCCTTAACCAGTCTTGATTTGATCTTCAGCGGGATTCCCCCTTGCCTGAAGCGTTCCATGTTGGATATCTGAGAAGCATTTTTCCCTTCTGGAATGTGAGGATTCTGTGGCTTTCAGAGACGCAGACCCAGGTCTCTGGGTGAGCCTGAGTTCCATTCATGTCCATGTCACCCAGGGTCTCCCTGCCCATCTCCTGCCCTCCTCACTCAGAGTGGCCAACATTTTAAAGTCCATACTGCAGCTATTTATAGAGGCCTCCTTTGTGTTCCTAACCCAAGCTGGAGGTTTCCTTAAGTGGGCATTGTGGGAGGGCAGTGAAGACCAAATTCAACAGCTCAGAGAGAACAGGCTGACGGAGGTCATTTCTTGTCCTTGACTTCAAAGGGCAGCAGTGAGTGTGGTCGCCTCATAACGCCTGAGAGGTAACACACGAGGTGCATTTTCACGTATGTCCGCCTTTAGTGACAAGTACTAAAATTCACTTTTGTTTTCTTCTCTTTTTCTTTGGGAGGGGGCATTTTGTTTTTGTTTTTGTTTTTATTCTTGAGACAGTCTTGCTCTGTAACCCAGGCTGACCTTGAACTCAGGGGGATCCTCCAGCCTGAGCTTCCTGAGTGCTGGAATTACAGGCATTCACCACCACGCCCAGCTTCACTTTTGTTTCCTTGTAAACTTCATTGAGTAAAGAAAGTTGGAACTGGGAATGCCAATCCCCTCCTTTCCTGTACCTGGGATTGAACCCTAGACCTTTGTACACTGAGTTATATCACCACTCTTTTTTTTTCCCCCGGAGCCAGGGTTTCACTAAATTGCCCAGACTGAGCTTGAATTTGTGATCTCTCAGGAGTTCTGGAATTACAAGCATGGGCCACTATACCAGGCTCTGGGACTGACTCAGTGTGATCTAGTGAAATGTTTTCTAAACTGAGGTCAGAGGCACCTTAGGAAACTCTAGTACTGTAAAAGTTATGAGAGACGAGGCTGAAGGAGAATCAGGAGTTTGAAGCCAGCTTGGCGCACATAGCAAAATCATCTCAAAAAGAAAAAGAAAAAAAGCTATGGTAGCGCACACCTGTAATCCCAGCACTTGGGAGGCTGAGGCAAGTGGACACTGCAAGTTTGAAGTCAGCCTGGGCTACATTGTGAGTTCAAGGCCAGCCTGAACTATATAGTGAGACCCTGTCTCAAAAAAAAAAAAAAAAACCACCACCCCCCAAAAAAACACCACACAGCAAAACCAGCCAGCCTAATGACACATGTCTGTAATTGCAGCACTTGGGAAGCTGAGGCAGGAGGATTGTTGAAAGTTTGAGTTCAGCCTGAACTACATAGTGAAACCTTGTCTCAAAGAAATAAAACAGCCGGGTGTGATGGAAAAGAGGGGTCATCATGTCTTCCTCACAGGCTGCCTAGAGCGTGGATGGTGTAGTGTATAGCTACCTGGCACAGTGTGCAACACTTGGCACACCAGTTGACTCGTTCAGTATCCTCTGTGGTGGTAGCCCTCACCTCTGTGCCATGTGAACTCAGAGAGATTAAATACCCAAGCTGGACGTGGTGGTGCATGCTTGTAATCCCGGCACACAGGAAGCTGAGGCAGGATGATTGTGATAGGTTTCAGACCAGCCTGGGCCACACAGTGAGACTGTGTCTTAGAGAGAGACGGGGAGAGAGAGAGAGAGAGAGAGAGAGAGAGAGAGAGAGGGAGAGAGACACTAAATACCCAGACCATCTATTGTTCTGCAAGATAAGTCCAGATCAGCATGCAGCCTGGACTCATCCCAGACTCCAGTGTTATTCTGTGCAGGCCTCTGATTGCTGAGCCCCATTGCCCTCCTCCATGAGCCTTTCCTGAGTCTTCCTGGGTCTTAGCATGAGCCTCACTATGCTAGTGAATGAGGTTACTACAGGGGGCCCATCAGGAACTCTGGCAGCCATTTTCTAGGCTCAGTTTTCTGGGGGTACCCAGTGGTACGGTCCAAGCATCCTTCAATCAGGGATTCTGGTAGAGGACTCTTCTGAAAATTTCTGCCTACTCCCAAACTTAAAGGATAAGCCCACCTTGGTCTTAGCTTTATTGAAACAGAGAAGTGGGCAGGAAGCAGATGGTTGTTCTGATTTCTAACTCTTCTTGTTCCGTGGGAAGCATCAGCCCCACCAGCCAGTATCTTCACCTGCAGTCTTGCTTGTTTTAGGCAAAACAGTGGCTGATTAACTCTTGTCTTTTGCTTGGTCGTCTCGCCTCTTTGGTCTTCCTAGGTGTGTAGGGCAGGACAATCTCTGTGTTCATCTTACGATTGGACGTAGGAGAACTTACCTCTCCACAGGAGCCATAACTGGGAGTCCCCGGTTTAGGCTAGGCCAGTGGTGGCAAACCTATGGCACACTTTCGCAGTGAGCTGTTTGCTATCGTTGAAAGCTCTAAAAGGTTCGCCATCCCTGGGCTAGGCTGTAGAGACGTGTCCCAGCTTTCCCTCTGGTCTCCTGTTGGCTCTGATCTCTACCCACTCCCAGCCATGGCTCTGCAGCAGTCAACTCTTCTCCATCTGAGCACATCACACCCTTGCTTAGAAACCTCACTCCCTTTGGCTCCTTGTTGCCTGTAGAATATAGTCGATTCC